CTTGGGCCAAAATTATAGCCCTTCATCAAAAGCATAAGAGCAGTACTCAAGTACTCTAATCTACTTGTTCTTGCTAAATTGTGAATTCTGCATATCTGCTTAATTCAGCTAAAAGCATATATGGCGCCAGTTGCAGCTGGGAGTGGAAGACCTTGTAAGCCGAAGGTATCATCCCAATCCATTATATTGATCTATGCTTTATGCTTCTTCTTTTCTTTTATCGTGGATTACTATGTCTAACTAGAACTCATAACTTTTAGTGTTTTACATTCTATATGTTTGGGATTTATTACTTGAATATATATGAAGGTAATGGCGTTTTTCTGGTAGTAAAGTGCACTAAAATCATGACGAGTGTATCGACTTCACTAGTTATCTTTATCTCTCAAATTCCTTTTTAAAAAAGTGTTATATAGTTATAACTTAAACTAGTGGATATGAAAGAGGTCTTGATAGTGGAGGTTGTTTCTTATCAATGGTTTATATTTTGCAATTTAAAATACGAAACAATGGACTCATATCCTAATTTTAAAAAAAGTGACATTTTTTCTTTGTAATTTTTGTTGTAAATGTTTGTGATATTAATTAATTACTTTCTTTTATTTGTTACTGTTCCCAGAAAATAATGAAGATGGGTATACGCAAGATCAATGTGACCATGAAAAAGTTAAGAGGGGATATGGAAAAGATAAGCAAGGAGCAAAGCAGTATAAGAGAGCAGCAAAGGAAAATCAGAGAAAAGTTGGAAAAAATTGGGACTCAATGTGCACAACTCCGGGGGGAAACTGACTTGATTGTCAAACAGAAGAAGTGGAACCAAATTCTCCTCAATCTTATGTGCAAAATCATCAAGGCAAGGCAAGACAGAGACTTTGATAAAGCCGCCTCCCTCGCCAGCATCCTTCGGTTCGTATACTCAAATGGTTGTTTTTTAAATATATTTGATGATGAGTCTACAATAGAAATAGTCGTCTTCAGCCGTCTTAACATATATAAAACATCAAAGTTTGAACCATGATTTGATATAATTTTTTTTTTCCTTCATTTTCTTTTTTTGCAGGGACTTAATAGCGAAGAAAAAGAAAATGAATGCTGATGGTTAGCTCTGAGCGCAAGTAAGACGGGCATCAATGTTTTCTTAGCAGAAAGCACGTTGCAACAAATAAAAAGTCACTCCCACTCCCACATTACATTTACCTTTTCTTTTCTTTTTCTTTTTTTTTTTCAATCAAAGGGAAAGGAAGACCAAAAAAAAAAAAGGGTCTTGCTTCACTCCCTAAGTTTTTTGTTTTTTTTTTTGGTGAATACTTCACTTCTAAGTTTCATCTTGATCAAGATCAATATGTGCAGATCAATAAATAAATGTAATATAAAAACATTGCGTGTGAATAAATTTTTTAATCATGTTAGTCTGCAATGATATGCATTTTACTATCCCTTTTATAAATACATGTGTAGATAATAGTCGTGGAAAAAATAATTTAAAGAAAATAAATAAATATTTCTTCGTAAAAAAAGGAATACAAAATATATACCAGAAAATCCTTACAAGCTAAGTTATTTACTTATGGTATTGGAGCCACTCTAGTGACCTTTTAAATGCTAGTGGGCCAAATTTCTAGAAGTGTATATAACACTCATAAGCAAATCTTATATCGATAAAGCATGGGAGAGTGGGCTAGGTTCATTTCGTGTGATCTCTTCAACAATTGTAGAGCGAATTTAGCAAGAACATAAGTCCAAAAAGGAGTGTATTTATGTGATACCTTTAAGTCAATTCTACATCGACAAAGTAAGAGAGAGATGCCAAGTATATAACTCAATATTGTTAATTTTTATTGATACTTTTAGAT